GGTGGGAGGGTGGGTGATGGGCATTGAGGAGGGCACCTGTTGGGATGAGCACTGGGTGTTGTATGGAAACCAATTTGACAATAAATTTCATATTAAAAAAATCATAAGAAAAATAAATTTATAGTACTGTACTATATTCATCAAAAAAATTTTGCGTGTAATGTGACTTGAGTGACTCAAACCCATATTGTCCAAGGGTTAATTGTACCTTTTTTTCCAGAAAAGATTGTTCTAGAATAGTTCTTGTATATCTTTGAAACACAACTGTTAGAGGAAAATCTTTTTTTTTTTTTTAATTTTTTTTAAACGTTTATTTATTAATGAAAGGCAGAGAGAGACAGAGCGTGAGCAGGGGAGGGGCAGAGGGAGAGGGAGAGGGAGACACAGAATCTGAATCAGGCTCCAGTCTCTGAGCTGTCAGCACAGAGCCCGACTCGGGGCTCGAACTCACAAACCACGAGATCATGACCTGAACCGAAATCACGCTTAACCGACTGAGCCACCCAGGCGTCCCTAGAGGAAAATCTTTCAATAATAAACTTAAAGGTGTCAGAAATGTGTACCTACGTTCCTCTTTCAATGCTTCGTGTTGCTTTCATTTTACTGTTTTTAGTCAAAACATTCAGTAATTATTTCAAAATAGCACAGTAGGCATTGTTTCATTCTCTTATCTATTTGTAAAACATGATTATATCAAAAGGGTATAAGTATACAGAAATTCTTACCTAGAAATTTCTGAACTTGTATCTACACAAAATGAATAAGTAGCGGTGTGTTCAGGATTTGAAAAGGTTTCGATCATACTATAATTAAAGATTAGTAATTGATTAGGAAGATATTCTTCACATTTTCTAAGGTACAGGTGATCTAATGCTCAGCCATCTAAGAGTCTAAATATTCTCTAACTCTCTATAATGCTTAGCTCATAATTACAGTCTGTTTACATTTGTCTCCATAGCAATTAGTAACAGACTCAAATAAAAAGCAAAGAATATGTCAGGATAGCTGAACATATAATTTGAACACTGTTGACTGCCCAGGAGAAATAGAAGAGTCTGAAATGAGGCAAAATGAGGTTAGCTGGGACCTCAAATTCTACCTCTGGCAGAGGCAGACATTTTGCTCAGGAACACTCCTAAGCCCCTAATACATTTGGAAACTGTAAAGACTAGTTTTTTATCAGTAGAAATATCTATATTACTTGTAAAGGCACATCACATTTAATATATCTTTTTGGCTAACTGTCCACAGAAATGAACAAAATTTGAATATTGAGAAGAGAAAGAAAATCTAATCATGTTGCCTCTCTTACCCAAGGTAGTTCTAAAATTCTAAAACTTCAAAAATTCTAAAAATAAAGAAATGTTCCACCTGCAACAGGTAAAAATTGCTTTTAGCTCTCCTTGAAGCAATTATATGCTAGCCAGCAGAATAGCCCTATAGTGTGAGGTAATCATACCACAACAGTAAACAATTATACACACATATTGATTCATAATGGTTCTTCATTTGATCCAACAAAAATGGAACCAGTATGACAAGGCGTTTCCCTAATTAGCAACTGAACAAACTCTGGTCTATTTACAGCTATATTTTACTTTGATAAAGCTAATCATGATGGGAGAACAAAAGCCACTTTAGATATCATTTATTTCATTCTACCAAGATTTAGAAGTCTGTAACATCTACTAAAGATCAGAATTTACCATTGCTATAAATTGAAGTTAAATTTCACTAGGAACACAATATCACCATAAAATTTATATTGCAAATTAGGAGAAAAATAACCTCTTCATCAAATGAATCCCAGATGAATCCTTAAGAGCAATGAGCCTCTTTTACTGAGGTAAACAAGACAGTAATAATCACTTCCTTACTTTCTTCCCCCTTACCCTTTCTGTCCAGTTGATTTTTTCTTCATACATGTCTCCAATGGTTCTTCCCTTGGACACTGAACCTCTCCTGTGGAATGCTGTTAAAATTAAATAGTACCCCCCCCAAAAAAAAGAGGTCAAATGAATAGGTATTACTCTCTTAGGTGTCTGGAGTTTCACATTAGCCACTTGGCCCGGAGTAACAACAGTCTAAAAGCAAGCGAGAAATCACACATTAAAATGAACTGCCAATGCTGCTCTGATCAGATTTTTAACCATGTGAACTACCTTTGGCCCATCACCCTGAGCCACTGAGCACAGTAAAGTACAAAGACAAATAATGCCAGTGCAAATTATTTACACTACACTTACAAATACACTGTAAATTACATACACCCATCGCTACATGATTAATAAGTACATTTGGAAAACTAAGCATTTTTAAAGGAAATTTTTCAATAATTAGAAATGTCTGTGTTCCACCTGGAAATGCAGTGCACTGAGTTTTGAGAAAACAAAGAATACATAAAAGTGATATAAGTGCAAAGACTGCATATTACAGCTGAATTGTACATTTTGAATATACAACACTTCCATTATTCTTAATTAATTTGCTAAGCAGTTTATGAAATAAAATTTTCATTGCCTGAAATTATTAGACATCTTATGAATGACAGGATTTCAGTGAAAGAAAAATGCTGCATGCCTGGTGATTCTCTACAACCCACAATGTACTTTTAAAAAGATTGTAGCCTTGGTTGGATGCATTAAACAAAAACACATAAGTATAATTTAAATAACATTATCCACTATTTATTGACTTACTTCTTCTAAATGCTGCGGTAAAGTCTGCATGTAAATGGCAATATGGGAACTTTTAAGATTTCCAATAGGCTCTTTGGTAACTTCTATAGGGAAACAAGGAGGAAGAGAAAAGGGACCATTTGAAAAAAACCAGTTTACTTTTTAGAAGGTTCAGAAATATTACAGGAAACATGTATAATGGCAGAAATGTTTTCTAACCCCCTTATAAAATGTTCTTTAAAAACACATGGAGACAACCTCTCTTCAAGTGAATCCCAGATGAGCCTTGAAACACCTCAGATAAGCATACTTAACGCCATGCTAAGGCTCTGAGAGTTTCTGTTTTAACAAAGACTGCCAAGGAAAGGCTCATAGAATTGGTTCACAAAATGAAGAGGCCCATGATAACTACATAAGCAAGGCAAAAGGCCCAAGAATTATAAATTCGGGTTTTGAATTAATATGTTCAACATTTTATAAATATTATACTCTCTTTTAACTTTTGGTTTTAAGCTATTATAAACATACTAATTTAGATAGAAGACTAAATAAGTTATCCCAGATAATCATTCACCAACTTCAAATTAATAAAGCCAAATAAAAAGATTAATGAACTTACCTTCATTGTCTGATAGCTGTATTTCCATTTCCTCTTGGTTACATGTTTCTACCTCTAAAAGATCCTCATCAATATCTATAAATTCTTTTTCAGTATCATCAGTAACAGAAATAATCTTATCTTTGGTTTCCTTTGTTTCAGGATTGAATGCTTCAGTTGGTATTCCACTGACAAAAATAAGGCAGCTAAATTATAATTCATTCTTAGAAACAAAAAGCTTCCTTTGAATTGATTCAGTTTACTGAAAAGGAACATTAGGTTTAATATTTATAGTCTTTTGTTTTTTAACCATGTCTGGTACATAGTAGAAGCTCAATAAAAGTTTGTTCAATGAATGACTAAACATCCCCATTTTTATTTACTCAAATAATTGAAATAATTTCAACTTATCTACACTTGCCATTCTCACAAAGGAATCTTCCTGCTATTAAAGGCTCAACCTTGTTATTCAGAGATACACTGCTTCATATGTAAAAATGGATGAAGTGATTAACTCAGCATCCTCTGACACAGGAAATCAATTAATATAATAAGAGAATCTCTCAGGAGAATTAGCACCTTTCTCAGAAGATGTAAGCTAGATCAACAGGGAAGAAATACATTTTGCAATGAATTGTTAAAAGCACTTCAGAAAATACTCACTTCCTCCTCTATGACTCAAAGAAATGCTCATTCCTTTACCTTTCAAGGGTTCAATTCCTGACTTTAAGCCAAACACCATCGAATAGGTATCATCAACTGAAAAGGAATGTATAATCAAAAACTTACTTCAACATACTTTGATGAGATTTGTTTTGATCATTTCTTTCATCAGTCCCACTTTGAGTGGATACTGCAACAGAACAGCCAGCATCTGTTTTGCAATCACTCACAATGTCAGGTCCACTCTGAGACCGAGAGTAATGATTCTCTAGCACCTAAAAACAAACCATAATTTACAGTACTTAGTATTCACTATTGAATCCCATACTTTTCATTATATTTTTAGATTATTAATATTTTCTACAGCCCTTCTCCTGATTAAATGTCTCATTCATTTATCAAGTATTTACTGCATTTCTACAACTCAATATTTTATGTTGAGGCACTGATCAAGTCTTTATTCTACCTGGAGAAAACAAACCTATCTAAATAGTATTCAAAAGAATTCAGCCTTACAAATTTGTAAGGTATGTTACCAATGTTTTCAAGTCACAAAACAATAACATTAAAAATGTAAAGTTGCTGTGGCGCCTGGATGGCTCAGTCAGTCAAGCATCCAACTTGAGTACAGGTCATGATCTCATGGTTTGTGAGTTCAAGCCCTGCATTGGGCTTTTTGCTGTCAGGACAGAGCCTCCTTCAGGTCCTCTGTCCCATTCTCTCTGTGCCCCTCCCTTGCTTGCTCTTTCTCTCTCTCTCAAAAGAAATAAATAAACTTAAAAAAATTTTTAAATAAAAAAAATGTAAAGTTGCTTTCACTTAATTCTCTTTGCTATAACAAAGGCACTTAGTAATTATTCCAAAATGACACAAAGGGTAAAAATACACAGGATGTATCTCTTTTAAGTCTCTTATTTAGAAATTTGAGTATGCATCACCTAGAAACACAAATTTCAGTGACAACAAATATCACAGTATCTTAAATAAGCTACCTTAGGATAATAGACACTGATCTCAAAAAATGAAAAAAATATCACAAAAACAAAACACACACACACCCTGCAACCTACAATACACTGTTTTATTTCTGTTTTTGTTTTTATTTCAAGTTTTTATTTAAATTCTAGTTAGTTAACATATAGGGTAATATTAGTTTCAGGAGTAGAATTTAGTGACTCTTCGCTTACATATAACACCCAGTGTTCATCACAAGTACCCTCCATAATACCCTAAACTATTTTAGAATAAAGGCACTTTATTATTTTTTTAATTTTAATTTATTTATTTATAAATAATCTCTATGCCCAACGTGGGGCTTCAACTCACAACCCTGAGATCAAGTGTCACATACTCTACCACTGAGCCCGCCAGGTGCCCCAGAATGAAGGCACTTTAAAATAGAATATAGAATTAGAAAATGTGGAGGTAAGTCAACCAAGATGGTGACATTCGAGGCCCTTGAATTCTCCTCCTCCCACAGAAACACTAAACGTACAACTACACACAAAGCAATTACCACTGTAAGAAATCTAGAAACTAGCTGACTGATTCCTACATATCAAGCAAATGAGAAAATATCTACACAGAGACACACAGAAAAGGCTGAGACACATTCTAACCAAAAACCCCACCCTTGGCACACCATCCTATAAGCAGGAGGGAACTCCCAACTTTTCTCTGAAGAGTGAGGGTTTGGACCCACACTTAGCACCCTAACTTTAACTTTTAAGACTCCCACTTGAGGGATGGGCCTCCAAAACACCTAGATCTGAAAGCCAATGAGGCTTACATCCGTGAGTCCCACAAGACCACAGCAAACAAAGCAGCAGTTATTAACAGGTGCATGAAAACCCATTGCAGCTATCCCCAAAGGGCTCAGCACAGAGGAGCAGGCAAAAACACCCATCTCATAGTCTTCTCCTGGAAGGTATCCAGCTGCATACATCTGGGGGCTAGCTACAATACCTCAGAAACAAGAAAGCTGATGGACACCTCCCCTGCCTTCTCTATCTAGCCCATTCCAAGTTACCAGCATATTCCAGGAAGCAGCCTGTACACACATCTGGGTGCCCCAGCTTTTGTAGCTGCTGACTGAAGGACAGGTCCTGAGATCACCCGTCTCTGATAACCAATGGAACTTGCATTTATGAGGCCCACAGGAGTGTAGCAAACAAAGAAGCAGTTCTCAGTGACTGCAGGAGCAGCCCCCTGTAGCTATACACCTGGGTCCAGGAGTTCACAGGGAGCAGGGAAAACATCCTTCTCCCAGTTTCTCCCCAGAAAGGGATTACATACAGACTTTGCCATATGCTGCCTAAGAGTCCAAATTCCAATCAGGCTGTATCTAGATGCTAAACTAACCCACCCCTTTGGGACACTGATAAGTGGCCATACCCCCAGTCTTGGCATACCCCCAACTACTGGGAGCCACTAAGAACAAAGAAGGGGGCTTAGGCAATCACAAAGGTTTCAGAGCCAATCAAAAGCTCAGACCAAGCTGGTTGATGAGGTTCATCTCCTACACAAGACCACTCTATCCAGACTGGGAGATGTGACTGCTTTATCTCATGTACAGAAACCAACACAGAAAGTCAAGTAAAATGAATGAACAGGACTATGTTCCAAACAAATGAACAAGATAAATCTCTAGAAACAGATGTTAATGAAATGGAAATAATGATATATCCTGATAGAGATTCAAAAGAATGGTCACAGAGGTCAGGGGATAAACAAAGTGAAAACTAAAAGGCAGCCTACAAAATGGGAGAAGATATTTGCAAATGACATACCTGATAAAAGGTTAGTATCCAAAATCTATAAAGAACTTATCAAACTCAACCCCCAAGAAACAAATAATCCAGTTAAGAAATGGGCAAAAGACACAGACATTTTTCCAAGAAGACATCCAGATGGCTAACAGATGCATGGAAAGATGCTCAACATCACTCATCATCAGGGAAATACAAATCAAAACCACAATGAGATACCACCTCATACCTATCAGAATTAACAACACAAGAAACAACAGGTGTTGGCAAGGATGTAGAGAAAGGGGAACGCTCTTGCACTCTTGGTGGGAATGCAAACTGGTGCAGTCACCCCAGAACACAGTATGGAGGTTCCTCAAAAAGTTAAAAATAGAAATATCCTACAATCCAGCAATTGCACTACTAGGTATTTACACAAAGGATACAAAAATACAGATTTGAAGAGGTACATGTACCCTGATGTTTACAGCAGCATTATCAACAACAGCCAAAGTATGGAAAGAGCTCAAATGTCCACCGACTGATGAATGGATAAAGATGATGTGGTACATATATGCAATAGACTATTAGTCATCAAAAGGAATGAAATCTTGCTATTTGCCATGATATGGATGGAGCTAGAGTGTATTGTGCTGGGCAAAATGGGTCAGGAAGAGAAGGCCAAACCTGTGTGATTTCACTCATATGTGGAATTAGAGACAGGACAGATGAACATGTGGGAAGGGGAAAAAAAGAAAGAGAGAGAGAGAGAGAGGGAAGCAAACCATGGGAAACTGTGATGGAGGAAGACAGGGTTTAAGGGGGGAGTGGTCGGGGGAACAGGCTGAATGGGTGGTGAGTATTGGAGACGGTACTTGTGTTGAGTGCTCGGTGTTGTATGTAGGTGATGAATCACTAGACTCTGCTCCTGAGAATATTATTACCTTATATGTTGACTAGAACTTAAATAAAACTTTGGAAAAAAAATGCATCATTATGTAAATGATACATAAACAAAGTGAGAATTTCAACAAAGAGATAGAAAATACAAAAAGGGAACAAACAGAAATTACAAAGCTAAAAAATATGATAATAGAACTAAAAAATTCAATGGAAAGGTTCAAAAGCATATTGGATCAAGTGGAAGAAAGGGTCAGAAAAGTAGAAGGCAGGACAGTGGAATTCATCCAATCAGAGGAGCAAAAAGAAAAAAAAATTAAAAGAATGAAGAAAACTTAAGGTATTTATGGGATACCAACAAACAGATCAAGATATCCATTATAGAAGTCCCAAAGGGAAAGGAAAGAGAAAGGAGCAGAAAGCTTATTCAGAGAAATAATAACTGAAAACTTCTCAAATTTGAAGAAAGAAACAGACATCCAGATTTAAGAAGCTCAGGGAGTTCTAAATAACATAAATGCAAAGAAACCTACACTGAGACACATTATAGTTGAATTGTCTAAAGTTAAAGACAAATAAAGAATCTAAAAAAGCAAAAGAAAAACAATTTCTTACATACAAGGAACCCCCTGAATCTATCAGTATATTTTTCAGCAGAAACTTTGCAGACTACAGGAAGTAGCATGATATATACAAAGTGCTGGGAAAAAAACAAACTGCTAACCAAGAATACTCTACCCAGCAAACTAAAAGCAAACTAAAAGAGTTCTCAGACAAGCAAAAACTGAAGGAGTTCATAACCATAGACCAGCCTTACAAGAAATGTTAAAGGAAGTTCTTCAAGCTGAAACAAGAAAACACTAATTTTATATGACAGTATAAAACCCACTGGTAATGGTAAATATATAGTCAAATTCAGAATACCCTAGTGTTGTAATAGTGGTGATTAAAACACTTCTAACTCTAGTATGAAGATTAAAAGACAAAAGTATTAAAAGTGAGAAACATAACTAAAATAATTTGTTAATAAATACACTGTGTAAAAAGATGTAAATTCTGACATCAAAAACATAAAAATGTGGGAGGAAAAGTAGTGTAAAAAAGCACAGCTTTTGTATGCATTAAAAGTTAAGTTGTTATTGGGGCACCTGGGTGACTCAGTCAGTCAACCAACTCAAGCTCTCAAGCAACCTAACTTTATACCTGAAGAAACTAGAAAAAAGAAGAACTAAGTATATAGTTAGTAGAAGAAATGAAATAAAGATCAGAGCAGAAATAAGTGAAATATAGACTAAAAAGACAAGAGAAAAGATGAAAGAAACTAAGAGATGGATTTTGGGAAAAATAAACAAAATAGGCAAGCCTTTAGCCAGACTCAAAAAAACAAAAAGGAAAGAAAAGAAAAAAAGAGAGGGCTTAAACAAATTAAAAATGAAAGAGGAGACACTACAACCAGATAGTACAAAAATACTAATGATCATAAGAGAGCACTACAAACAATTATAGGCCAACAAATCAGACAACCTATAAGAATTGAATAAATTCCTAGAAACACAAAATCTACTAAGACTAAATCATGAAAAACAGAAAATGTGAACAGACCAATAATGAGTACAGACATTGAATCA